CCAAAATTTTCCAAAACCAAGAAGCTATCATTATACTTGTCACAGAAGGGTGCTCCAACTTCGAGTTCGTATATCTCGGTTTCTGTGAGAATTATCAAAAAGTGGTCAACAAGCAAACTGTTACTGATATTATGATAAACATTTCGTTAGTTGATAACTTTTTGATATCATTCACAGGAAGTGATATAATTGGGCTCAAAGTTACCACCAAGCTGCGACGGCAAGACACGACCGCGTAGCTCAGCAGATATTTGCTCCTGCCCTTGCCCTTGTTTTGTCCAAAGACTGCCCTTTCAGTTCCTGAAGTTTCTATTACAGCAGAAAAATCATAGATCCCTCCCAAGATTCTCTGTTTCGATTTTCGCAACCTTCGAATCTCGAAATTTCACTTCTTCTCCTTCTTCCCCGCACTTGAAATTCATTTCTAATACCCTTCTCGCCTCATATTTACATTTCTCCATTTCGATTTCAATTTCAATTTCTCCTCACACACATACTTGTTGAATACAATCCCCTTTTCTTTTTCTCGATTACTTTTTGTCGTTGTTAAGTTTTTCGCCATTTTGATACCACAAGACAATTCCCCTTCTGTCTGAAATTGGGTTGTAAAATAGGAAGCACTATAAAATTAACCAAAAGTCGATCTCTTCTGCCCAATTGACCAAATACGCCGAGACACGTTCTGTTAACAGCCCGAAATGTAGACAAAGAGAGTGTTTTAATTACTGGTTGATAGAGACGAGTGACAAGGTCAGAATTGACAGTGTTATCATCAGAAAATAAAAAATAATGGGATGAAGAAGATGAACCCCATGGCAAGGCGCTCCAGGCCAATGTCGGCCGTCTGAATGAGGAGGAGCTCAAAAAAAGAAAAAATAATAAACATTTGAATTTTCGAAATTCCTAGAACTTCGAAGTTTCTCAAAAATTTGGAATTTCTCAAAATCGCCGAACTTCAAATAAATTATTCTCAACTTCTGATTTGCCAAATTGGCCTAAATTCTTCTTTCTTGTTTTATCTAATTACGTGATAAGGAAAACTGCCGAAACCGTTCGTTGAAGGTAATTCAAATCAACAATTTGCGTCACAAAGGAAGATTTTTTTTCGTTGTGATTGATCAGAAATCGGTGAAAAATAAAACACAAGAAGATTACACAGTTTTTGTTTGCAAGGATATTTTTTCTATTTTCCGGGTACCAAAATTTTCTAGTTTTTCGTATTGTTTTTCGGCCTCCAACTTTCTTTGTATAGTGTCTTTTTTTCGATATGGAGCTATCATGATTACTACATGATAAACCTTCTAGAGACGGAAGGATTCTGAATACAAAAGATTTTGAATTAAATTCTGAAATTAAATAATTTTGAGATTCTGGAATTTCAAAATTTCAAGATTCTGAAATTATGTCATTCTTAAATTTATGATTCTGAGATTCTGAGATTCTAAGATTCTGAGTTCCTGAGATTCAGAAATTCTTGAAATTCTGAAATCTTAAGATTATGAGATTCTAAGGTTCTAGGTTTCTGAAATTTTAAATGTCCTAGATTCTAAGATTCTGTGATTTTGAGATTTTGAGATTCTGAGATTCTGAGTTTCTGAGATTCTGAGATTCTGAGATTCTGAGATTCTGAGATTCTGAGATTCTGAGATTCTGAGATTCTGAGATTCTGAGATTCTGAGATTCTGAGATTCTGAGATTCTGAGATTCTGAGATTCTGAGATTCTGAGATTATGAGATTCTGAGATTCTGATATTCTGATATTCTGATATTCTGAGATTTTGGGGTTCTAAGTTTCTGAGATTCTGAAAAAGTCAAATTTTCAATTCAAAAATCAAAATTTGGGTTTAAAAAATCGGACAATTACTGAAAATTGGGAAATTTGACAAAAAAAAATCATATTTGAAAATTTTTAATGGATAGTTTTTGAGATATCAGAAACTTTCGAAATTCCTGAGAGATCCAAAATTCAGAAATGTCAAAATATATTATTAGATTTCATAATTAAAATTTAAATTTTCTATTAAATTCCAAAAAAAAACTCGTACTATCACATGTATAAGTTCCTTGGAAATTGTAGTAATTTCAAAAGTTCAGATATATATGTTCTACGAAATTCGAACATTATGGAAATTCCAAAATTCCAGAGAAATCCAAAACTCAAAAATTCAGGACTTCAGAAACTCCAATAAATTTGAAATGAATAAAATTAAATAGCAAGCTTGAAAATTCCAGGAAATTTCAAAATTTCGGCAAATCGGAAAATTGAGATTTTGAGATTCTGCGATTCTTCAAAAAATTGACTTATATCCTACAAAACTACAAAACTATGAAATCAGAAAAAAATTGACCGTTCAGAATACCAGACATCAAGACTTCTGAATTCTAGAAGAAGACAATAGAAACTGTATAAAATTTCAGTGTAAATTAACAAATTGTTCGTTTTATTGTGTCCTTCTTGCCAATTAATTTTCCATTGTCCTTCTCGTTTCCTTCGTTTTCAATCGAAAAGCTACTGATAAAAACTGTACTACTAGATTTTTAGTGTTTTTAACTTTTTTTAACTTATTTGGTCCAACTAATCAAAATGTGGGCGGAGTTTTGGTATGTGTTTGACTGGTTTTAGATTTTTGTTTAGTGTATAAAATGATAAAAATGATTGGAGAAATAGAACGAATTGCCTTCTTTTTTGGAAGCTATGTAATTTTATATTAGTAAGTGTTTTTTTTGAAAATCGTATCGAAAGTTTTGAAATTGAAAATCTATAAATCCAAAGTTTAAGACATTTTTTAATTTTCCAATTCTGAGTTTTGGACTTGTTTTTTGCGATTTGAGGTTATCAGTTTTAGAAAAATCGGAGATTCTGAAGGATTTTTGAACTCTCAACTTCCGAATTTCTGAAATTCCAAAACTACGAAATTTAGTTTTTATAAATACCTGAAATTCTGAGATTCTGAGATTCTGAATGTTCCGAGATTCTGAAATTCCGAAGCTCTAAAATTCAGATATTCTCAGATTGTAAAGGTTTCAAATTTCTGAAAATTGGTTTTCGTGTAGCAAAATTTCCAAAGCAAGTTTCTTTAAAATCTAGTGATTTTTTCCCAATTTTCATTAATTTTTTTAATTCTTCGAACTTTTAAACCTATTTGTCCCAAATCTCATCAGTTTACCAAACTCCACAAAATCGTCAACCATGTTCCTTAACTCCCCTACTCAAAACCATATCTTTAATCTAATCACCCCAATTTCAAATTCCACGACTTCCCCATTACTACGTCATCAAGACGGTGACGACGTCAGGGGGTAAGGCGAATAGCCCATTTTTCTCGAAGTAGAAGACTCCAATCACCAAGTTGCCAATATAAAAATCTCTCTCAGTTTCTCTGTCCATCCATTTTTCCCAAGGTTATTTGTGGTCTGTTTGTCAGAAAAAAAATCTTCGCGTGATGATAAAATTGGCCACTATCTCCTCCCTTCTCTGCCATAGGAAGGTCAGAAGAGAATCGGAAATAAAGGGGCGGGGCCTCATTTGTCTTTGTTATCACTTCAGCCTTACTTCAAGACAACTTCATTTTTCGATTCTAACTTATCACAACCTGCGCTACATTGTTTTCGGTGAGATGAGGCACACTTTAACATTAGTCAATTTTATCTCGGTTTCTGTGAAAGATAACAAGATTTAATCAACGAGTAAAATGTTACTGATATTATGATAAACATTTTATTAGTGGACAACTTTTTGATATCTTTTACAGGCAGCGAGTTAAATATGGACAAAGTTAAGAGGGTCCCTGTCTTCTGTGGGCCCCGCCGGCGGTTACCGCGTAGCTCAGCCGGTAAAAGCGTGGTAGTTCCAATATTTAGCTTGCAAGTGCAACTTCTTTAGCTTCTTCCAGACAGGGTTTGAATTTTGAAGACCGAAAATATTCTCTTAGCGAGACAGTAGTTTTTTTTTCCATGCAAGCCAAAAAACAGAACTAATCTGACCCCTCCCGTTGTCTAGCTACCACTATTATAGGCTTAAAGGAAGTAGGAAGTGTGTATGTTTTTTTTTTTCTGAATAGTTCTACTAGCTACAAGACAGTTTTTTGTATGCTAGATGCAGACGTTCTTGGTTAGACAGATTTTTGTGACCGTGTAGCTGTAGCCCTACTTTCCGCTTAGCTGTAGCCGAACTTTGAGTGGTTGTACCTCACAAACCAAGCTAGCTGGCAAATATTTTATTAACAACGTACATAAAGTTCATAAAATTTTACAGATTTTTTTAGTTAGCAGCTTTTTCGTAGTTAGCTTAGGTTTCGAGATAAGCGCGCTTGAAGTTTGAGAATATCGCGGTACCACAACACATTCATTGCGCTAACTTCAAAAGGCGTAGATCTCGAATACCAAGTTAGCTAGCAATAACCAACAAACTGCAAAAACAAAGTTCATAAAATTTTACACATTTATCTAGTTGATCAATTTTATCTAGCTAGCCTGGGTACTGAGATAAGCGCGCTGGGAGTTTCAGAAGAGCGCGCTATCACTACTTCTCTACTGCGTTCATTCCAAATCTTAAAAACCAAGTTAGCTAGCATTATTTTTTAACAATAAACGTAAAGTTCATGAAATTTTACACATTTATCTAGTTGACCACTTTTATCTAGGAAGCCTGGGTATTGATTTAAAAACGCGTGAAGTTGCAGGAGCGCGCTACCACCACACCTTTACTACGTTAACTTCAACTAGGTGTACTTCAGAAGCCAAGCTAGCTAGCTGAAATTTATATATTTTAAAATGAAGCTCTTAAAATTTTACACATTTTTTTAGTTGACCGATTTTTTGTAGCTAGTCTGGTTATTGAGATAAACGCCGTGAAGTTGTCACCTTTTCCGTATCCCATCCTCTTGGTTGTCTTCTTTCTAATTCTCAATCTTTCACGTTTTTCTTCTTTTCTACTTTCCTTCTTCTCTAATTCCACCGATTTTCAGAACTTCTTCTCTCCTCTAAGACTCCAATTCAAAATGGTCCAAATCTGGCAAATGGAACCATACCCATGTGGTGATCCACGTCTTCCACACCATCTCTTCCCACCAAAGAAGATCACTCCGGATGAGTTGAGCAAGCGTACCGGAACACTTTACTGGAAGCTGGACACTCTGGATCAAGTGGCACTTGCCAAGAGACTGACAACTCTGAAATTAGAGCACAATTTCAAAAAAGAGGACATCTTCACTTTGGACGCCGAGACTACTGCCAACTTTGACGACAAGATTGAGGAGTTGTTCGAGGAATCGTCGGTGCCATTCGAGCAGGCTAGAATGATCATCGAGGGATCTGCGTACTATGATGTGGAGGATAAGAATGGGCAATGGGTCAGAATTTTCTGCGAGTACGGGGATCTCATTTTGATTCCATCCAACACTTGCTTCAGATTCACCACTACACCAAAGGTAAGGATTCTTTCATACGCCAGGGGTAGCTAAAGAGCTTTAGAGCTAATAACTCAAAAATTAAGCTAGCTAGAAAAAAGTTGCAAACTACTGAAGTGTGTAAAATCTGATTATCTTTTAAATGCAATTTGCAAAATGTTCCTAACTTTTCTAGTTCTTGAGATACATCCGTTTTAAGTATGCGTCCTCTGCGCCTCCAGCTACTTCTAGCGCTTCCTATGAACGCGCACTGTAAACGTCCGAATCTCGCAAACGGTGGTAGCTAGCAAAAGTTGTAAACTACAAACATGTGTAAAGCTTCATTATCTTCCTGATGCATATTGTAAAATTTGTATAACTTTTCTAGCTTTTGAGATACAAGCGTGCGTTTTTGTTTTTGCGTCTCTAGCGTTTCTCATGCGCGCTCACATTAAACGCTAACAACTCAAAAACAAAACTAGCTAGCAAAAAGTGTACAACTACTAAGATATGTGAAATTGTATTACATTAATACTCTTAGTTCAAAAAATTAAGCTAGCTTTTCTAGTTTTTGAGATACAAGCGTTCTAAGTAAGCGTCTCTGCTTCTTCGGTGATTTTAGCATTCTCATGAGCGCTCACTTTGAACGCTAATAACTCAAAAACCGAGCTAGCTAGCAAAAAGTTGGAAACAATGAAAATGCGCGAAATTTGATTTCCTTCACTTTTACTGTTTAAAAAATTTTGCTAGCTTTTCTAGTTTTTGAGATACAAGCGTGCGTTTTTGCCTCTGCGTCTCTAGCGTTTCTCATGCGCGCTTACTTCAAACGCTAACAACTCACGAACGAAGGTAGTTAGCTAAAAGTTGAAAACTAAGAAAATGTGTAAAATTGCATTGTCTTTATTTTCATAGTTTACAAAATTTTGCTAGGTTTTCTAGTTCTTGAGATACAAGTGTTCTAAATAAGCGTGCGTCTGCCTCCGGTTACTTGAAGCGCTTCTCACGAGCCCTTCCTTTGAACGCTAATAACTCAAAAACCAAGCTAGCTAGCAAAAATTGTAAACTGTCAAAATGTGTAAAATCTTATTATCTTAATTTTCTTAGTCTCAAAATTTTTATATCTCTTCTAGTTTTTGAGATACACTCTTTTCAAAACCCATTTTTGAAGCTGAACCTTAATTTTCAAAAATTTTCAGAATTTCGTAAAAATGCGTCGTTTCTACAAGGAGGAAGAGGGCAACTAATCAACAACTACACGATCAAAAACTTTGAAAAATCCCAAAAAAATTTCTGATTCTTGTACAAAAATCCTTCTAATGTTTTCTTTGGCACCCGGTAATTTTTCTAATATGGTTTTTTTCCTAATAGCACTTTTTCTCAAAATCATTGTCTTGTAAATAGAGCATTCCACTCTTTTCCATTTATCATTTTATCACCAAAAAAATTTCTTTGAATAATGAATTTTTAAAACCAGTCGATTTCCACCGCCTGTCGACGGCTACAATCTCCTGGCTTCACTAAAAACGTTTGAATCTCCAAATCGGAGAAAATCAGAAGAGGAAGTTTTAGTTGATTGTGTTGTCAACTTTCATAAACTGGAGTGACAGTCTGCTTATGCGCCTTCGGGGCTAAACCTTCTGGCTCCCGCTTACAACACCCTTAACTGATTGAGTTTGGGCTTGGACAGATAAATCGGAAATGTAGATCAGAAATGTGTCTTAGTTGATACACGAACTGTTCAAAATTTCCAAATTTTTAGAACTAATAATTTGTCTGAATTCCCGAATATCTTGAAATTTGACAATTTATAATTTTTTTCAGAAGTTTCGAAATTCAGGAGTCCTGAATTTTCGGAACTGCGATTCTAGAACTCAAAGATTTTTCTATTAAAACACTTCATTTCACAACTCATAATTTCTGAAATGTTGTATTTTCGAGTTTCCGTATTTCCGACTTTCTGAGATTCTACTTCACAAATTCCCAAAATTTTAACACGAATCAGATTTTCAGAATTTTCTCTAAAACACATTTCTGAATTTTTGATTCACAAAGTTTATGAATTTCAGAATTTTCTAAATTCCGAACTTGGGTTTTCTGATATTTTGAACTTCTGAGTTTCTGGTTTTTCTGGTTTTTGGCTTTCGAGATTTTGGATTTTCAAAATTTCGAGTGTTCTAACTTTCAAATTTTTTAATTTCGTAATATTCTGAATATCTGATTTTCAAACTTCAAAATTCCCGAAGTTTCAAATCTCGGTATTTTCGAGTTCCCGTTTTCCCAATTTTCCGAATTTCTGAATTAAAATTTTAGAATTTCAGAGTAAAACCAAAATGTTTGAAGCATAGGAATGGTTAGAAATTTCGCATTTTCGAAAAAAATAATAAAATTCCGTGATTCAGAGTCTCCGAAATTCAGTTTTTGAGAAGTTAGGGGATTCAGAAAGTCAGAATTTTAAAGGTTACTGAACTTTTCCTTTCTCTCTTCTTTCAAAATTAAGACTAAATAATTATTTTCACAAAATCACTTTTTTATCAGATATAGTGTGGATAAGAAAAGAAAATAGAGGGGTTGGACGGAAGTGACGTGAAAGTAATTTTCTAAAGAGTTGCGCTGTAGGAATGGAGTAACGTCTCCAGATGACGTCAGAAACAAAATTTCAAAATGAAAAATAGACGGGCAACATCTCGCTGCTATTTCGGATCATCTGTGAAAATTTGAACATTTTTGGTCTACTGGGGACTTCGCTAGGGTCGTGGAACCGGGAACAAACGGACACACAGACAGAATTTGGTGATTGTTAATAGTAAAGATCGAACTTTCAACTTTCATCGGTTTTTTGCAGGACTGGGAATTTCAGAATTTTTAGTGATAAGGAGAGAGAGAGAGAGAGAGAGAGAGAGAGAGAGAAAAGAGATCAGTAGCATAAATGGACTCATCGATGAACTCTGATAAGAGCAGCAGCGAGAGAGTACACGAAGAGAGGAGACGCAGACATAATGATGTACGATTTTACCCGAAAAGTTGAAAAATGCACGCAAACCGGCTGATAAGGGGTCCGGCTTAAATAGGTGGAGAGAGATGAGGCAATACTTAGAAAATTTGTTCTTTGCTATCTTTTTTTGTGAAATTTTCAGAATTTTTTTACTTTCTGAAATTCTGAAATTCCAAATGTTCCTCGTTTCCTGAATTCGGGTTTTCGTTTTCCTCTTTCTCACATTCAGGGGGTCTTAAGACAAGATTTTTCGGTTATTTTGCAACCGGACATATTAGAACCGGCTGTTCCAGAACTGACCATTTTTCAATAGTTTTGACACGTCCGGTTGCGGAATGGTCATTTGTCAGTCGTCCCGGATCCGGTTACAAAATTACGAATATATGGAAATCTGAAAAAAAAATTTTGCTAAGTTTTGGAGTTTTAAAAATCCAATAAATCAAAACACAATATTTCCTACTGTCTACTGATAATATTTTTCTTCAATCTTAGGGATCAGAAAACAGTAAATCGCTAAGATCAAAGTATCAAAAATGATAAGTGGTTCGAACTTTCTAGATGGATCATTTAGAAAAACAGAAAAATAGGAAAGATAAGCTTTAAATATTTTTTTCAAAAATATTAATTATTTATTGATTTTTTCCTTGAAAAAATTCACATTTTTTAGAAACTTTGGTTCAAAATTTTTCCAGCAGATTCCAAACTAGAAACTAAAAAAAAAAAAAATTTTGTAAACCAGTTTTCAAAATGGTTTTTGATTTAAAAAAGCGAAAAATCAAAAAATTGAAGTTTGAGGAACTGATCCAAAAATTTGGATGATCGCCAAATAAGACGAACTATTTTGGAAGTGATTTTTCGATTTTTTTTTTTTGAATTTTGGATTTTTGATATTGAGAAAAACACATGAGGATGAAAATTATGTAGGATCAGAGGGATCTATAATTTCTAGGATTCCTAAAATTTTCCACTTAAAATTTTTTTTAAATCTTTCAAAAATCTTTTAAAATTAAAGAAAATTTTAAATCTTCTTTTTTGAAAATTTTTAAAAATCTTTAAAATTTTAAAAATTAAAAATCATTAATTTAAAAAATCTTTAAAAAGATAATTTCTTGAATCCTCACAATTTCTCTTATTTTCAGATTTTCCGGGATTTTCGAAATTTCCAGACCTTCTCAAAATATTGATTTTTGGACTCTAAGGATTTTCTAAACTTGGTTTATTGAATTTTACAAATATGCGATTTATTAACAATTTTCGATTTTTCAAATTTTCTGAAATTTCAGATTTTTAAAGCTTTCGGAATTTCGAATAAATAGATTTTTGGATTCTTGAAATTACATTTTTGAAAGAGAAATTTTGAATTATCTGGATTTTTTTCAATTTCTAAAAATCTCAAAATTCTATGGATTGTTTTGGATTATTTGGAATCTTTGGATTCTCAAATTTAGAAAAAACTGTACTTTGGAATTCCTCGGATTCTGAACCATATATGTATTTTTTTTTTTTGGGTTTTTTGAACTTTTTAGATATTTGAATTCCTGAATTTTTGAATTTTTCTAACTTTTTGGGTTTAGCAACTTTTGGATTTTCGAATTTTTTCAAAAAAGTTCCTTCCTGTCCTCAAAACTTCCACCGGAAATCACATTGACCAGACAGTCTGTCATTTTCGAACTATTTTTTTTTTTCGTCACATTTTTGGTTGCTCTGTTGACCCACAGGAAGTGATAGTGGTGGTGGGAGTAAAAAGTTATGTCATATTGTTTGTTCTGATAAGACATTTGAAGAAATAAGAACTTCCTATATCAACAAAAAAGTAAATAAAACAATAATTTAGAAAATTTTCACCTCCGTTCCTTCCGGGGGTGGGATTGTTTTATAACAAGTGGATGGGAAATTTTGGTATAAAAGAAACGGAATTTTTGAGAAGAAAATTCGAAATTGGCTAAAATATTGTTTTCTAGTCAAAGTAATTAATAAACATTTTCATTTGTCCATTTTGGACTAAGCTACCCGGTTGCCTGCTGCCGAGTCGGCAGTGCAGAAGGGTCCCTTCAACTTCGGCCCTCTTTATCTTGCTTCCTATAAGAGATATCAAAAATTTGTCAACTAGTAAAATGGGTATCACAATATCAGTAACAGTTTATCAGTTGATCACATTTTTCTATCTTTTACAGAAATTGAGATAAAGCGACTCAAAGTTGACATAGTTTTTTTTTCGAAAATTTTAATTTCAGCTTCAGACCTTCCTTCAACTTTGTCCCAATTTATCTCATTTCGTGTGAAAAATATCAAAAAGTGGTCAACAGATAAAATTTTTATCACAATATCAGTAACAATTTATCAGTTGACAACTTTTTGATATCTTTCACAGGGATTCAGATAAATTGATTCTAAATTTTTGACGATTTTCCAAGTTTGATGAAGTTTCAAGACTTCGAATTTTTCGAATTTTGTTTAGTTTTTCTTTAATTTTTCTATTATTCACTCTTTATTCTTAGTTCCATGTGACAATTTCCAGAAGTATAAAACTTAAAAAATCTGTGATTTCTTTGAAAACATTAAAAATCTAAACCTATTTTTTAAAGTTCCATGTGACAATTTTCCCTTTTTTTTTGTTTTCCCTTTCGACGAATTCTTGTTAAGTGATAGTAATTTGAATTGACAATTTTATTTATTTTTAATTTGGATTTGTTTCAGATTCTTCACATTTAAAAAATAATAATTGTTGTGAGGTCTAGGGACTAATTTTCTGAAATTCTGAGGTGTTCTGTAATAATGAAGTTTCCTAACTGTGAGTCGTTTCAACTCGACTCCTGTGAAAAATATCAAAAAGTGGTCAACAGATAAAATGTTTATCATAATATCAGTAACATTTTACTAGTTGACAACTTTTTGGTATCTCTTACAAGAATCGAGATAAATCTAGTCGAAAAATATAGCACTATTTTTTGGCTTATGGAACTTTTGTAGGTTCAGAGCTTCAAATTTTTGTATGCTTACGTAGTCAAAAACTCTATTTTAAGCAATTTTTGCTGAGTTTTTTTTTAAAACAACATAGTTTAGAATTTGTACTTATTTTCCAGAATCCTGATGACGCAAGTAGGGATTCTGATTTTATCAATTTGGAAATTCCAATTTTTTTCCAATTTTAGAAACAAAACCTACGATTCGAAATTCAGAATTCGTTAGGTTTTTAGAAGATCTTAAGTTCATTTACACTACTAAAATGAGACAGAATACCAATGAAAATTGAAATTTTAGAAAAAAAAGTTGTGCCAATTACATACAAATTATTTGTTGAAACTCAAAAATTGGGAAGTTCAAAAAAGCCTCTTTTTGGCAACTTTTTCTTCTAAACCAGCCAAAGATATTCTACAAGTTTTAGACTTTTCTAGAAAAATAGTTCATAGTTACTTAAAGGTGGGGGGACAGGAGATTTTACGGGGGATTTTTGGGGCCAGAGTATGCATTCTACCGTAACGGTGTACAACGCTTAACGTCACTCTGCGTATAGCTGTCGCCCTCGCCTTTATGTATGCAATCGAGCAGCGGCTTCCTCTTTGCACGCGTAGCTCAGTCGGCGCCGCACCTTCAACACTCGCCTCGACAAGTTCAACTCCTCGAGGAGAATATTTAAACGGAATTTCGACAACATTATTTTTCTCATGTCCCCCCACCTTTAATTGAAGCCCCGCCTCTTTTTTCATCCATTTTCTTTAACATTCTCAATCATCCTGATGACGTCTGTTCGTTTTACTTTTTTCTCTATTATTTTTTTTTCTAAAAATAGGTTTGCTCATCCATAGACTTCTGGAAGAAAACGGACCTTGGGTTTTAATTAGATTCTTCTTTTTTTTTTCCTTTTTTTCGCATTTTTTCTTTTGGATTCGTGACTTTTGATACTCGTTTTTTAGAAGAGAAAATTTGGAATATTAGAAAAATACGAATCTGAAAATTTTCCCGAAATTCTGAAATTCTGAATCTCTAAATTTCTGTTATTTGGAGAATTTCAAATTCTGAAATTCGGAAACTCTGAAATTCCAATAATAAGAATCTCTAAAATTATTTGGTCTTGAAAGTTCGAAATTCCGAAATTCGAGACTTCCGAAATTGGAAATTCTGAAATTCCAGAAATCAGAAAATGAGATTTTCTCAATCTTTGAAATTCAGAAATTCTAAAATTCTGAACTTTTGAAATTCATAAGTGTTGACATTCCGGAAATCTGAAATTCCGGAAATCTGAAATTCTGAGATTTTGAGATTCTGAGATTCTGAGATTCTGAGATTCTGAGATTCTGAGATTCTGAGATTCTGAGATTCTGAGATTCTGAGATTCTGAGATTCTGAGATTCTGAAATTCTGAGATTCTGAGATTCCGAGATTCTGAGATTCTGAGATTCTGAGATTCTGAAATTCTGAGATTCTGCGATTCTGAGATTCTGAGATTTTGAGATTCTGAGATTCTAAGATTCTAAGATTCTGAGATTCTGAGATTCTAAAATTCTGAGATTCTGAGATTTTGAGATTCTGAGATTCTGAGATTCTGAGATTCTGAGATTCTGAGATTCTGAAATTCTGAGATTCTAAGATTCTGAGATTCTGAGATTCTAAAATTTGAGACTGAGATTTTGAGATTCTGAGATTCTGAGATTCTGAAGATTCTGAGATTCTGAAGATTTTCAACTCTCGAAAATCTGAATTTCAGAATTTCCAAGTCTCTTGACCACTATTCCATGTTCAATGATCCGTTCCGTTTTTCTCTGTATCTTCTTTTTCCCCTCTTTCTCTGCGTCCATTCCATCATTTTATCTCTCGTTCCTCCCCCCGAAAAACCGAGAAATAACGATACTTATACGAGGCCAAAAGGACACCAAAATTGCCTCTCATCTTCTTTTTTTCTTGATGTTTTTCTCTGCGTCTCCTCTTTTGTAATACTCTCTCGTTGAGAGAGTGAAAAGTGGAAAACAATGATTCATGTTGCAATGTAAACTGTAACGTTTCTTGGGTTTTTGAATTTCTATGAAATTTTTAAAATTTTGGGAATCTCGGAATTTTTCGGAATTCAGGAGTTTTGAGTTTTTTTTCGAAACTTGGGGATTTCGAATTTTCCAGAATCCGAAAATTCAAAAAAAAATTTCCAAATTCCCGGAAGTCGATTTTAGTACTATTTCGACTCCTCAAAAGTTTACACAAGTTTATTTTGTTTACCCAATTCGTTTTCCGCAAAATAATGAACAAAAGTGATAAGATCAGTATCAGAAAATAGTTTTGAATTGACTCATTTTTTAGTTTTGTTATTGTCTACAACTTTAAGTTTCCGGAAATTTCAAAACTCTATTATTATTATTGTATTGTTATCAGATAATATATACACTATACACTTTAGGCTCCGCCTCCTTTTTTACTTTATATACCTTTCGGGATTTCTGAATTTCTGAGTTTCTGAGGTTCTGAGATTCTGAGATTCCGAGATTCTGAGATTCTGAAATTCTGAGATTCTGAGATTCTGAAATTCTGAGATTCTGAGATTCTGAGATTCTGAGATTTTGAGATTCTGAGATTCTGAGATTCTGAGATTCTGAACTTTCAGATTATTTTTTCTCAATTTTTTTTTTGTAAATGTTTTGTATTTTCAGACAAATTTTCAGCAAAATGCTTCTTCGATTTTCCCTGCTATTTTTATTCTGTATTTCTGGAATTTCAAATGCTCCGAACCCAAATTGCTCATCAAATTCCTTTTGCTATAATCCAACGGATTCCCAAAAAATCACACTAACAAAAGTTGGAGAAAATTTGAAGCTGAAATTATTTGATGAAAAATCTGAAATTCAAAAAATTCAGTTGATTCAGAAAAATGTGAGTTCTTTGAAAAGAATTCTGAAAATCTGAAAAATTCGAATTTCAGGGAAAATCAGTAGAAATCGGTTGCTCAGCAGAATCGGGAAATTCGAAAAATGAGGGAAATGGAGCGAAATCTTGTGAAGTCGATCTGAAAGCGGATCAGTTTGAAAAGGTGAGAAGTTGAGAACTTTTAGAAATTCAGACATTACAATTTTTTAAAAATTTTGAATCCACAGTATGTCTGAAAACTTTTTAAAAATCGATTTCTCAGAAGAAAATTCCAGAATCTCCCCCTCTCCATTCATCTCTCCGATTCCCAATTTTCCGATTCCTTTTCCCTGGATTCTCTGGTCCCACCACTTCAACAAGGACTCACAAAGGACCAAAGAAGAAGTTTTTCGAAAGCTCATGCTATTTTAATGATCTTCGGATGGCTTCTTTTTGTCCCAACCGGATTTTTATTTGCCCGAATTGGAAAGGATCTCTTCAAAGATGAACTCTGGTTTGGAACGGCTGTCTGGTTCCAGGTGTGTTTTTGACTTGAATTATCTCTTACAGTAACCGAGATAAACTAGAATAAAGTCAACGCTCCTTTTCAGGTCCACCGTGCTGCGAATTTCATGGGTGTTGTGTGCATTTGTACTTCAATGTTGTGCATTTTCATTTCCCAGCAATGGACGTGGAAGGGAACTGGATCAAAATCCAAGTACTGGACTGAAGTACACACAGATCTGGGTGTGATTTCATCGGTTCTAGCGGTGGCTCAGCCGATCAATAGTTTGTTCAGGTAAGGGGATTCTTTAACTCAAGTTATCTAGTTTTTGGTAAGAGGTATCAAGAAGCGGTAAACTGATAAAATGTTACTGATATCACGATAAACATTTCATTAGCTGGCGACGTTTTGATATCTCAAATGGAAATTGAGATAATCAAGCTCAAAGTGCAAGTACAGAGTAGCGCTAGCAAAGGGGTTCCCTAACTTTGACACATTCTATCTCTTTTCCTGTAGCAGGTATCAAAATGTGGTTAATTAACAAAATGTTACTGATACTATGATACACATTTATCAGCTGGCAAATGTTTAATATCTCTTACAATAACCAAGATAAAAGGAGACAAAGTTAGAGGCACTTTAGCGCAGCCGGGAAGTGAGATGGCTTTGTAGAAGGGGGTAAAAGTTCTAACCCTGGACCTGATAATAGGTTTTTGATAGCGAGAAATCTGATTTTTGCATTTATTATTTGCAAAAATATCTTCCTAATACACTTTTTGACTTCTTCTTTGGCCTCCTTTTCAAGACCCGAGTTAGCCGCCGTATTGTGGTCCTCCCGGCTGGTTCACAAGTTTGACACAATTTATCTCACTTCCTGTAAGAGATAACAAAAAGTGGTCAACTAACAGAATGTTCATCAATACATCAGTTACATTTTATTAGTTGACCACTTTTTGATATCTTCAATAGGAACCAAGATAAATCGGCTCAAAGTTAGAAGCGCTTTTGGCGCAGTCGGGAAAGGGGATGGAACAGGGGCTCCGCCCCTTCCAACTTCATCCCCTTTTATCTCGCTTTCTGTAAGAGATGCCAAAAACTGATCAACTGTTAAAACGTTTATCAGAATATCAGTAAGATTTTATCAATACTACTTTTTGATATGTGTAACAAGAACCAAGATAACGGGGGACAAAGTTATAGGTCCTTTCTTAACAGGGTTTGATCATTCTAGAGGAATTTTTCATCAAAAAAAGTGTCTTCCAGATGCGGACCAACCCATTCCCGTCGTATCATCTTTAACTGGGCCCATCGTATCACTGGAATCGTCGCTTATACCCTTGCTCTCACCGCCATCATTATTGCCGCCGTTCAATTCAAGCGCATCTGGAATGAGCCACTATTGGAGCTGGTGCTCGTTTGTTTGCCGATTGTTATTTGCTTGGTGGTCACAATTGTTTTTACCCTTTTGGAAAGTGATCGATTCAGGGACAAGGCTGCGTTTGGGGTAAGCGGGGGTTCAAAATTTGGGGTCAACATTTGGTGGGGTGCTCAAATAGGATGCCACCATTTGAGCTCAATTATCTCGCCTCCTATGAGAGATATCAAAAAACTGTTAACTGATAAAATGTTAGTGGTATTATTATAAACATCTTGTTAGTTAACAACTTTTTGATATCTCTAACGGGAGCCAAAATAATTGAGCTCAAAGTGCAAGAGGTGGTTGCGGAGCGACTTAGCCGATGATCGATAACTTTAAAGGGACCTAACTTTCTTCAAACTCTGAATTTTTCAAAACTTTAAAAAGGAAAATGTAGCTCTTGAAATTCTCTACAAAACCATGTAAAGTTTGAACAAGTCCTCAATTTCGCTTGTTTAATTAGGTTTTCAATAGAAGCTAGCTAGATTGGATAATGGCTAGCTAGATTGGAGAATGCGTCATTGTAAGGGTCATAGCTTTCTTCAAAATTGAAATTTTCGAAACATTTTAATTGGGAATCGAAGCTCTTAAAATTCTCTACAAACTGATATAAAAATTGACTATATTTCAAAAAATTTTATTTTTCGAAATTTTGGAATTTTTCAAAAATTTTACCCTAATTGTGTGCGATCTTTCTAACCCAAATTTAAGGAAATGAGAATCCGGAAACCATTGCTCAGATCTGATGGGACCCGGCATAGAAAACGCGGATCGGTAATTAGCACTAATTAACTAACTAATCGGGCTCAAAAATTGGTTTATGGTAGCACTACAAAAACTACAAAAACTACTAATTATTAACAAGTTAGGACTAACTACATTGGTTTTCGAAAAATTTGAAAATTTTCAAAACATTTTTTTGAAAATTTTCAAAAACTAATTTGGTTCAAAAACGGGTTATGGTAGCACTACAAAAACTACAAAAACTACAAATTTGTCATACTGTAGGACTCCATGGAAGATGCACTGATAACTGTCACCGATGAGGACTCAAAACCCATTCGGAAGGTACTGTAAAAAGGGGCGGAGCTTTTTTCTGCTACAGTAATCCATAAGCTCTGTTCTCCTAAACCCCGTTTACCTCTGTGTCTCTTTTTCCAATGTCTATTTTTCTACAGTAACCCCAAAATTGAATACAGTAATCTTTTATATTTTCAGCCCCACATCCTCAAGCTTCCAGCAGTTTTCTGGGCGGTCGGAGTGTTCTTCTGCATTGCTGTCGCACTTTCTCTTCTCGTTGTTAATGGATATAAAAATTGATTTTTTTGTTTGAATTTTTGAAAAAAAATATTTTTTAAGATTTTCAGAAATTTCCCCAAAAACTGTCTGAAATTTTTAGAACGGGTTTTTTTCTGTAATTTTTTGAGGAATTTTGAATATTTGTATGTATTTGTCTTTAAGAAAAATAAAGTTTTGCATTTTTTAATTTTTTTTTTCTTGAATTTTCGGAAACTCTGAAATTTTGAAATTTAAGATTTTCTGAATTCTTGAAATTCAAATTTTCAAATTTTTTCCGGTAAAATTCAACCTATTATCCTTGTCTGAGAAAAAAAAGGTTGAGACGCAGAGAAAAAGTGTCTGTGTCTCCACCTTATGTGTGCTATTTAGGCTCTCCGCTTCGATATCGCTACCGTATTCAGACTGCAAAAAATACTCTCTAACCTTTTTTTTCTCAGACAAGCATAATATTTCCAGCAATTTTTCACCTGAAATTCGAGAATATCCCGAGAAAAAACTTTTCCTCTACCGTAATCCTTTAAAGGTGCATGCTTTACCCAGCCAGGGTCTCACCACGATAAGGCTTTCCCAAAACAAACTCTCGATTTTTCAGCGATTTTCAACGAATTTTCAGCGATTTTCAACGAATTTTCAGAGATTTTTCGCGGAAAAACATGGACCGCGGCTCATTCTCGAACAGCCGAAGAGCCAGACACTTTGGCAGATCCAATCAGGTCAGGGAAAAATTCGAAAAACAAAAAAAATTAAATTTTTTCAGAATAGCCAATCTTCGTCGTCCGGGCACCAGAATCATCGCGGGAACTTGCGTGAAACCTACTTGAGCGAGAGTCATAGTGGTAAGAAAATCGATTTTTGACATAATCAATAAATTTTTTCAGCTGATTTCTACGGAACTCCTCGCAGCTTTCTCGGAAGTCCAGTTCCATTTATGAGCAGTCCGTTGTCTCTTCGAGCTCGCGACTCCCCAGTTTCTCTGATGCCACCATATTTCGATGATTCCAACTCCTCGAACGTCTCTCTTCAGCTCGCCGGTCTTCATTTGGACGAGAATAACAATTCTAGAAAAAAGAGAACGGCGTCGTCGTCTGGAGGACGTAGTGAGACGAATTCCACTCAAACTCGCCGTCTTCTAAGTCTCCCGGCGTGGGCGCTCGATGAAAATCGCGATATTAAAAGCGATTTGACGCTGGAGAAGGTTCTCGATGAGGGATTGATTCTGGCGTTTGCAATGGACAAAGCTGGTTGCCAGTGAGTATAATTGATGCCGAAAAATCGATAAAATAACGCTAAAATCCCTAAAAATCGAATTTCAGTTTCCTCCAAAGCAACTACTACGGCGAGAACACTCAGGAAATCGACGCGGAGATCCGAAATCGAATGAATCGAGAGGTTTTGGGAAACAAGGGCGTCTTCTTGACGATTTGCAAGAATAGCTTCGGGAACTTCTTCATGCAACGTGTCATCGAACACTCGACGCCGGCTGAGCAAGAAGCCATCAAGAAGTACATCGTCAGCGATATCAGCGCGTTGTGTCTCGATAAAAGCGCATGTCGTGTTGTGCAGACTGCGTTGGAGGTGTGTAGAACGGTTTATCGATTGGAAGCCATATAAGCGCTGAAAATCGGTCCTGAGACCGCTTGAGTATTGGCCAGAGATTATGTGAAAAAATGACAGAAAACCAGGAGTTTTCAGCATTAATATGAACGAGAAATGCTGAAAAACCCGGGAAATGAGTCGAAAAATCAGTAAAAATCAAAATTCGGTATTTTCAGCTGAAATCCCTTAAAATTCGACCAGGAAAATTCGGAAAATCTGGCTAAAAATTCCGAAAATTCTGCAGAAATCAATTGAAAATCGGCAATTTTTAGACTTGAAATGGAAGAAAAGGGCTCAGAAAGGCCAGAAAACAAGTAGGAAGTCGAAAAATTCACTCAAAATCGGTATTTTCGAGCTGGAAACCCTTCAATTCAGCGTTTTATGAACTAACATTTTTTGTATACTTGTAACGGGCCGGGCCGGGCTTTTTCCGGAATTTCGGAGACCCGGCCCGGAGGGCCCGTCATTTCACTAGTTTTGAAATTTTCAAAAAACACATAAGGGGGGACCCTTATGTGATTTTTTTCGAGTTTTTTTTGATTAGACAGACAAACAATCGAAAAAACGAAAAAAAATGGAAAAAATTATATTGAGAGCTCAAAATTTGGCTCAAAAATACAGAATTTTTGACACCGGGCCGGGCCCGGGCCTTGAAAATTTCCTCAGGCCCGGAATTTTACAAGTATGATTTTTTGGGATTTTCGATTTTTTGAGTTTCTACGATTTTAAAATTCCAATAATTGAAGATTCCGAAATTTAGAAAATTCGGATTTTCACGATTTTCAGATCTTGAGAATGGATTTTTTGGATTTCCCAAAAATTCGATTTTTTTCTCAAATTTTCTGAAAAAATCTTTTGGATTTTTTTTGTGATTTTAAGTTTTGAAGTTCTGATTTTTTGAATTTCACATGACATTTCCAAATTTGAACTCCGAAAATCACGGATTTCCACCCAGAAAATCCCAGTTTTTTGAGCATTTCTGGTATTTTTCTTGCAAAAACTACCAGATTTCAAGTCCTGAACCCCCAAAAATTGACACTCGAAACTCGAAAAACCACGCTTCAACTCTTCAGATCCTCGAGCCCCGTTTCGGAGACGCCATCGTCGCATCGATACCACCAAAGAACTGCCTAATGGCCATCTGCACGGATCGAAACGCGAATCATGTCATGCAGAAGATCATCAAGAAGTTCGCACCGAAGAAATGGGAGTTTTTGGTCACCTATCTGGTGAAATACGAGCAAGAGAACCTTCTGTACATCTGTCGAGACAAATACGGGTGTCGTGTGGTGCAGACGATTGTGGAGGTTCTTTCTGAGGAGACTCCTAATCAGGTGAGAGGCGACACGTGGATTTTTGGCATTCTAGAGATTCCTGAGAGCCTATCCAGCTGAACATTGGGTTAAAAGGCTAGAAAACCCGCTAAAAACAACCGGAAACTTGTCAAAATTCTCCAAAATCTAGAAATTGTTAGTTTTGAAGATTTGCAGCTTTCCGGACTTGAAATGACGTTTTTGGAGCAAAAGCTTGCAGAAAATCGATAAAAGTGGCTAGAAAATCATCTGAATACGTTCGAAAGCTTTCCAAGGGCATATTTAGCCGAATAATAGCTCAAAACGTAAGAAAATAGTCTAGCCAGTGCCGAATTTCGTAAAATGACTGAAAAAAAGCAAATTTTCGGCTAAAAATTGCTCTTAAAGCCTACGAAATGACTTGAAACTCACCAGGATGATCTCTGTCTCAACTTATAAGTGAAAAATGGCTGAAAATTAATGAAAATCACTGGAAAATAGGAAAAATAGCATTTTATAGCTATCTGGACGCATTTTCAACCTGAAATTTGCTCTAAAAGTGGCCCAGAAAGTGCCAAAACTATGGAATCGTTTCCAGACCATTTTAGATTTTTCTAGTAACTTTGAGGATCTTTTACTGCGTTTTGCACGTAATTTTCCCGCTTTTGACCTTGAAATATCGATTTTTGCTGTTTTTCACCCCAGTTTCATCTTAAAAACCCCTGAAAATTCCAGGCTGAAGCCGAGGAAAAATCCCGCGTGCTCCGCCGTCTGATGACCAAAATTCTGGCGAAATGCACCAGTCTGACGCACAACGAATTCGCCAACTACATCATTCAACACATCATCGAATCGCCTGGCATCCTTGACAACTACCGTAACACCATCATTGAGCAATGCCTTCTTCGGAACCTTCTCTCGATGTCACAGGAGAAATACGCGTCTCATGTCATCGAAAGAGCATTCGTCTATGCTCCATTATCGCTGATGGCCGAGATGATGGATGAGATCTTTGATGGATATGTTCCGCATCCGTGCGTTTTTTTAAATAGGACTTTGGAGGGTTCAGAGTCAATTTTCGGCGTTTAAAAAGCTCTGAAAATGCTGAAAAAAGGAAAAAATGGCCTGAAAAGTGACGAAATTCCAATAAAATACTCTGTAAACGGGCTCAGATTTCGAAGCTTCCCGGGATCATTTTGAGCGGGAGTTTCGGCATTTTCAACCATTTTTCGACTGATTTTGGGGTGTTTGGAATTAATTTTCGGCGTCAAAACGGCTCGAAAAGCGCTGAAAATAAATGAAAATGACCTAAAAAGTGACGAAATTCAGAAATTTATCTGTTCGAGGCAATTTTCGGAATTTTTCAATAATTTAAAAGCTTCCTGGCGAATTTTCTGCAAATTTTTCAGCATTTTTTGCTTCATTTTCTGCTAAAAAACGGCCTAAAAACGACAAAATCACAAAGTTGTTGGGAAATAATTTTAGAATCTTTAGAAATTTTCCATTCCAAACCTAGGTATTTTTGACTGAAAATGTGCTTTAAAAATCTATGAAAATCTGTTCTCTTTCGGCTGAAAATCGATGAAAAACCCAAGAATAGAAAAAAATAGCCATTTTCAACAGTTTTTGGGTCATTTTCCGCCTGAAACTAGCTCTAAAAGTGACCTAAAGAGCATTTTAGAGCTTTCTGGAAGCTTTTAGAATAATTTTTAATCGATTTTCAAGGTTTTTAGGTCCCTTTTCATGCTAGTACCACGATTTTCAGCCTTATTTTAATTTTCAGAGACACCGGAAAGGACGCTCTCGACATTCTGATATTCCACCAATTCGGCAACTACGTCGTTCAACGCATGCTCCAGACTTGCGTCGACGCGGTCACCGGGCAACGGTAAAGCTCACATTTTCGGCTCCGGGATGTTTCAGAACCCGACGTTTCAGAACTTTTCTGCATTTTTGGTAGTGGTTTTTGTACATAAAATGAGTATTGCTCATTTCAATTTTGTGTTTTCTGTTTTTTTTAAATTCGTTCTCATCTACCGTACTCCAAATAATGATAGATTCACACTAGGAAACTCTCAAAAAGTCGAAAAAAATTGAAATTTTCAAAAAACGGTGTCATTGCTGAACGTATGCAAATTCTCCGGCTAAATTTTTTTCGTACTTTTAGACATCGTTTTTGAAAATTTCAATTTTTTTCGATTTTTTGAGAGTTTCCTAGTGTGAATCTATCATTATTTGGAGTACGGTAGATGAGAACAAATAAAAAAACAGAAAAACAACAAATTGAAATGAGCAACACTCATTTTATGTACAAAAGCCACTATGCAAAAATGCAGAAAAGTTCTGAAACGTCGGGTTCTGAAACGTCCCGGAGCCATATGATCAGCCATTTTTAGAAATATCGCTTGTTGCAGTGAAACCCGTCTGGATGGTGTCAACTACGCGAAGAAGTTCGAGAATTGGCTCAACAAGCTCTATGTGAGAATCAGAAAGGAGAAGAGCCGTTTGACAAGGTGAATTTTGGAGGAATTTGGAGCCAAAAAGAGGGGAAAAATCACTAAGAATCGGAGGAAGATTACTGTAGATTACTGTAGAAATACTTGTATTTTTAGTAGTTTTTTCCCCAAACACAATTACGTCGAAATGCAAAATAACTTCAAAATAGAAGGTTTTCTACACAATCTACAGGAATCTTCATGTCAAATTTCAGACAAAAAAAATCGGAAAAATCCAAAAAGAATTCTCAAAAATAGCAAAAAATGCCCTAACATGACCATAGTGTGTTTTCTAGGCCATTTTAAAGTGATGGCTTAGAAAATCAAATTTGCAAAAGTTAGGCCACCACTAAAATGAATTTCAAATGTCATCTTTTAAGCCAGATTTTCTCTGAAATTTCACTCAAAATCCAATCTGAAAATTCCAGATTCTCGTCGGGAAAGAAGATGTTGGACATCCTCTCCAGCATGGAAGACACGTATCAATTCATGCCACCGTACGACGACTCTTCGCCGTCTACAAGACAATCCTCACGTCGATCGTCGATTTCTTCAGAATCTCCACATTTCGAATTCGACGTCAACAACTCCAATTATCACGTCTTCTAGAAAATTCGAATTTCGCTGAGAATTCTTTTGAATATTTCCCAAAAATTCCTCTTTTTCGAATCCGTAAAATTGTCTATTTTAGCATTGATTTTTGTGTAGTTCTAGCGTTTTTGAGCCAAAATATTGTTGGATTTTTCTGGAATTTCCTGTTCCTTTGGCTGGAAATTTCAGCCAATTTTTAGCCAAAAATTGACTAATTCTTTTGTAAATGATCGGTCCCATCATTTTTTATTCAATTTTTCCTCTAAATTTCCTAAATTTCTACCCCTCTAGACTCCTAGAAATTATTGTTCCATCTCCATATTCATCTTTTTCTCATTTTCCTAAAATTGCTCAGTTTTTCTTTTTTCTGTGGATTTTTTTTGTACCACCCATCCCATAGGCCATGCCCACTTTCATTCGAAGCCACGCCCCGTTCTAAATGATGGTTCTTTTTTTTTTTAGTTTTTCAATCAATCGATATTGTACATGTTGTACCCGACCATCCCATAGGCCATGCCCTCGATGGCTCATTGTTGTCTGTTTCGTTTGTTGGTTGTTTTTTTTTTTTGGTTGGAAGAATTTTTCATTGGATTTATTGAATTCAATGAAATTTTTTGTTGGAATCGATTTTGAAAAATCAAAAAAATTCAGAATTCTTGAAATTCTGGGTTCCTGAAAATTCTAATTTTCCAAAATTTCAGGCGGTTACCCAAAATTCTGAGTTTTTCAAGAAAAAAATAATAAATTTCAGAAAATTGGCAATAAAGAGATGGGGATGAGATTTTTCTCAAACGGGTCAAAGAACATTACAAACGGGCCAAAAAAAAAATACTGGGCAAGTTCTGGGATTCTACTTTCACAAGATGGCGAGAAAATCGGGAATTTAGACAAAAATAGGCAAAAAGTAGACTTTTTTGGCGGGGGAAATAACAGATAAATACGATTCAATTTCGGCCCGTATCTGGTTTGGCTTCTTCGGGTTTGGCGCGTTTGCAATAGAGCACGTTCGCAAGGAACATGGCTAAATCTTCGTTGGTCCAGTAGGCAGAGTGTGTAGTAAGCATCATTTTCCCACATTCTTACTCATTTCTGAATTCTGTACAAAAAACAAAAAAAAGTTGCCACCGGTCGGACACGAACCCTCGTCGCGCGGGCAAAAGCGTAGTTCACTAACCACTACACCATGCGGCCACACAGAGAGGGCGGTGTAGACGGCGCATTCAATACCACTCTTTCTTCCCTCTCTCGCCCTCGCCCTCACTTCCCAGGGGGAAGTTCCACCACCCTTTTTTCACTGTGATGAAACCAAGGAACGTCTCCAGAAGGCTTCAAAATCAAAATTTCTAAAAACGGAAAATGGGGGCATAATCTCGCTGCTATTTCGGATTTTCTGTGAAAATTTGAGAAATTTTGGTCTGCTGGTGATTTGGCTAGCTTGCGCTAACCGGGAACAAACGGACACACTCACACACAGAATTTGGTGTTTGTTAATAGTAAAGATTTTGCATTTCGACGTAATTGTGTTTAGGGAAAAAAAACTACTGAATATACAAGGATTTCTACAGT